AAAGTAATCCCGGAGTGGAGCACTGGACAATGGTCAAGAACATCCTAAAATACCTGAAAAGGACTAAGGATATGTTTCTCCTTTATGGAGGTGACAAAGAGCTCGTCGTAAATGGTTACGTCGATGCAAGCTTTGACACTGATCCGGATGACTCTAAGTCGCAATCCGGATACATATTTTTATTGAATGGAGGAGCTGTCAGTTGGTGCAGTTCCAAGCAGAGCGTCGTGGCGGGATCTACGTGTGAAGCGGAGTACATTGCTGCTTCAGAAGCAACAAATGAAGGAGTCTGGATGAAGGAGTTCATATCCGATCTAGATGTCATGCCTAGTGCATCGGGTCCAATGAAAATCTTTTGTGACAATACTGGTGCAATTGCCTTGGCAAAGGAATCCAGATTTCACAAGAGAACCAAGCACATCAAGAGACACTTCAATTCCATCCGTCATCAAGTGTCGGAAGGGGACATAGAGATTTGCAAGATACATACGGATCTGAATGTTGCAGACCCTTTGACTAAGCCTCTTCCACGAGCAAAACATGATCAGCACTAAAACTCCATGGGTGTTGGAATCATTACTTTGTAATCTAGATTATTGACTCTAGTGCAAGTGGGAGCGGAAGGAAATATGCTCTAGAGGCAACAATAAAGTTATTATTTATTTCCTTATTTCATGATAAATGTTTATTATTCATGCTAGAATTGTATTAACCAGAAACTTAGTACATGTGTGAATACATAGACAAAACAAAGTGTCCCTAGTATGCCTCTACTTGACTAGCTCGTTAATCAAAGATGTTTATGTTTCCTAATCATAGACATGTGTTGTCATTTGATGAACGGGATCACATCATTAGGAGAATGATGTGATGGACATGACCCATCTGTTAGCTTAGCGTTATGATCGTTACAGTTTCATTGCTACTGCTTTCTTCATGACTTATACACGTTCCTGAGACTATGAGATTATGCAACTCCCGAATACCGGAGGAACACCTTGTGTGCTATCAAATGTCACAACGTAAATGGGTGATTATAAATATGCTCTACAGGTGTCTCCGAAGGTGTTTGTGGGGTTGGCATAGATCAAGATTAGGATTTGTCACTCCGTGTATCAGAGAGGTATCTCTGGGCCCTTTCGGTAATGCTCATCACTATAAGCCTTGCAAGCAATGTGACGAATGAGTTAGTTGCGGGATGAAGCATTACAGAACGAGTAAAGAGACTTGCGGGTAACGTGATTGAACTAGGTATGATGATACCGACGATCGAATCTCGGGCAAGTAACATACGGATGACAAAGGGAACAACGTATGTTGTTATGCGGTTTGACCAATAAAGATTTTTGTAGAATATGTCGGAGCCAATATGAGCATCCAGGTTCTGCTATTGGTTATTGACCGGAGATGTGTCTCGGTCATGTCTACACGCTATCCAGGGTCCACATGCTTAACGTTCGATGGCGATATGTATTATGAGTTATGTGTTTTTGATGACCGGAGTTTGTTCAAAGTCCTGGATGAGATCACGGACGTGATGAGAAGTCTCAAAATGGTCGAGACATAAAGATTGATATATTGGACCATGTTATTCGGACATCAGAAGTGTTGCGGGTGGTTTCGGGTAAAAACGGAGTGCCGGAGGGGTTACCAGAACCCCCCGGGGAACTAATGGGCCACCATGGGCCTTAGTGGAGAGAGAGGAGGACCGCCAGGGCAGGCCGCCCCCCCCCCCCCCTTGTCGTCCGAATTGGACAAGGGAAGGGGCGGTGCCCCCCTTTCCTACTCCCTCTCCCGTAGGACTCACTCTCCTTGGGCGTGCCCCTAGGACCGGCTGGCCTCCCCCCTCCCTCCTTTATATACGGGGGCAGGGGGCACCCTAGAACACACAAGTTTCTCTTAACCGTGTGCGGTGCCCCTTCCACAGTTACACACCTCGATCCTATCATCGTAGTGCTTAAGCAAAGCCCTGCGCCGGTAACATCATCATCACCGTCGCCACGCCGTCGTGCTGAAGGAACTCACCCTCGTCCTCAACTGGATCAAGAGCACGAGGGACGTCATCGAGCTGAACGTGTGCTAAACGCGGAGGTGCCGTATGTTCGGTACTTGGATCCGTTGGATCGCGAAGAAGTTCGACTACATCAACCGCGTTACTAAACGCTTCCGCTTTCGGTCTACCGGGTACATGGACACACTCTCCTCTTTCGTTGCTATGCATCTTCTAGATAGATCTTGCGTGATCTTAGGAATTTTTTGAAATTACTGTGTTCCCCAACACAGCCATGATAACAACGCCGCTAATAAAGAGGGTCCCAAAATATCATGTGGCCGCTAGGACGCATTTCAAATTGGTGTGTTAGATAGGTAACTCAACGCCGATACTAAATGTGGCAATTAGTGGCGTTGGCGCTTTGGCCGCAAAGCAAAAAAACCACTATTGACCGCGTGTCAACGCCACTAATACACGGGGCCCAGAATATGACGTGTCACATGGGCCCCAGTAGTCTTTGATGGGGCTTGGGTAAAGATCTAATACCACCAATATAGTAGGTACTAGCAACGTGTGATTATGACCCACACCACTAACACTACCTGGCTTGTCGGACAGTTGGGTCCGGCCAACTAATTACGTTGGAGGACAATCAAATGTAACTAGTGTTGTACTATCAGTAGCGGCCCCTTATAGTCAAATGTCGCTGGTATTTCAAAATCTTACCAGCGGCGTCAATTATTTGAGCGGTGCCACTGATACGAAATTCATGTAAGGGTTTTTCTACAAGTGTTGATTAGCCATCCCTGGTATTTGATCTTTGGGTGGACTCTACTAGTAGGGAAAGTTGTACTCCCTGAGCTTCCTTATGTAAGATGTATCATTAAAATTGTCATATGTTTCTATTTCTGCCCCTCCAGCCTCGGGTACGACCATCTCCAGCAAAAAATAACTGATCGGTGGTTAAGAAAAAGAACCATGCCATCATACACAAGTATTTTCATGTCATCTGTGATGTGCATGAGCCATGCAAAGCGAGCAGGAGATGCCCACGCGCACACAAATCGCCAGACCATTGAATTAATTAAGGGTAATTTCGTTTGAAATTCTCGCAAATCCTTGACTTGAGAAATTTCTATCAACTAGCAAAGAGAGTGACAACCACCTAATCATGCATAGCCACTATCCTAGGCAAATGAAACACATGATAATTACCAAGATGTAATAACCTAAGTTCTATGCCACAAAAAAATTTCTATATATCAATACAAAACTAAACCAAGACATAAAGCAACCAACCATAGAATCTTGGATAACAGACATCTACAAAATAGGGTTAATAACTGCTCAAAAGGTGTTACTAACATATCACACAAAACATGGGCTAACACAAGCAAGACAATGATCTTGAACCATGATGCAACATAGAATATAACTGCTAATTTTAGGCCTACACCAAGCAATTTGCCGCAAGCATGATTATGTTCTAAAATAATATACCAACTCATGACAACTGATCTTCTTATCTAAATAGCTCGCCCCACTAACCTATTTCTCTTAACATGCAAGCATGTCACCACATCATGTAGCTTGCATGAGAAAAGACCCACCTCAACATTTAATTATGCATGTGAAGTAACTCACCTCAACATGCAAACATGCATGAGTATTGTCATTTTAATTATAATGTTATTTATTTCTAATAAATGATTTTTGTAGAAATTACAACTATACAATTATATATAAAAAATCATATGTATTTTAAATTCCAGTTATCATATTATTACTTCAAATATTCATGTTTTGTAGAACCAAATCTAACTAAGATATTTGCAAAACATTTCTGCAACTATGTATGGGATGTCATTTAGTATATAAAGAAACTAAACAACACATCTAATCCTATATATACCTAAGAGAGTGATCACCACTACTTCTAATTATCCAACATGTGTGATTTCACATCACCAAAATTTGTGTAGCGTTAGATTCACTAGCTTGAGCCACTAGGATCCATCTAATCTATGCATGAGAATCCTCTACGACGCAACATGCATCAGTGCACTCTAAGTGAGTTTTAAATCACCTTGCATTTAGTTGTGCCATGCAGAACTTTCATGTAAGTTTTTTTTTGCTTATGTAGAAATTTCTCACATAGTTTAAATGGTGAAGACTTAATTAGTATTCTACACAATATTTAGAAACTATATATCCAGTTGTGCGGCAACAAGCGAGGTATGGTCCGCTTTAGATAAACAACAACCTAAAGCATGGCATGACTTCAAATCAACAAAACACACATGCAACATGGATGAGGTGAAAATATAGCACAGATTTAAGATATCTTCATGGTAAACAAACTAAAATAATCAACAGGTATTCCATAATAAATGAAATAAAGCTTAAAATAATTGTCCATAAATCTATGGATTGTATGGTACAAAGGCATATCATAGTACATCATACTGACCAAAAATAAATATCAACATGAAACCACGTGTAAAAGAAATTTTAGTAATTTAAACAATCCTTTTAAACATATATAAGTGGAGTATTATGGTAGACTATGTTTGTCGCAAATATGTTTCATATTTTCTTCAATTTTTTACTCTTTTTTTTTTTGCTTAATCAGGTGCGCCTAGATCCGTATCCAAAAAATCCACACCTCCTTTTTCACGCTCTAAAATATGTGACGATACCCAAACCCTTCCCCCGCCGCCCCCCTCAATTCCCATCTCTTCCTCGCCGGAACACCGCGAGTTGGTCCCGGGAGCACAGATCCGCCGCCCAAATCGGGCGTGCGAGGTGAGCCTCGGAGCACTTTGACCTCTTCTCCCTTCGTGTCCAAAGACGCCGGAACACGGTAACCACCATAGCTCACTATCCTCCTCTGTCCGCCCCAGGGTAAGCCCTCTCGCCGGAATCCGTCAGGCTCCATCCTTACATTTCCTCATTCCCTTTTCAGAGATCGAAATCGGATCTGACGGAGCCCCGGCAGCCAGTCGCCATGCCGGACAGCGGAGGCGCGACCGTGCTCGACGACCTCCCAGAGTGGATCCTTGTGGAAGAGATCTTCATCCGTTTGCCGCCCAGGGACATCGTCCGCTGCCGAGCCGTCCGCAAGTTGTGGCAAAGTGCCACCTCCACGGACAAGTTCATGCTGGACCACCACCGCCGCCAGCCCTTCCTCCCGATCCTCAGCCACGTCGTTGAACCGCAGAAAACCAGCCTCGTGTTATCCTTTGACGCCGATGCAGTCCAGCGACGGCTCTGCCCGGTCATCCGGACCTTATACTCCGGTATACTCGAGGCTACGTGTGATGGCCTCCTCATCGTCTCCCACGGAGCCACAGCGCATGAGTTCTTCATCTGCAACCCGGTCACCCGCAGGTGTGCTCCCCTACGGACGCCTCAGAACCTACTGAACTATTACTACCAGATTGTCGGCTTCTATCGGCACAAACCATCCGGGCAGTACCGAGTGCTTTGGGTCTCTTGTCCGACAAACAACACAAATCACAGAACTTTTTACTGTGTCATAGCGGTGGGATCCGATTATACAAGACAAATCGGACAAGGATGCATCCGGCAACCAACATCGTCATCACCTTCCTTGGAACTGGCGTTACGCGAGCGGCTGCCCGGTTCGTCTGGCTATCCGCCAATCGACCACCGTGGCAGCTTGCACTGGACAATTGTAAGATACGACCGCTGTGATGCCGGCTACATAATGGTGTTCAAGACAGCAGATGAAACATTCCGGTTGATGTGCTGTCCAGCCCAGTTGCCCTCACAACAGTTGCTGTTGGAGATAGATGGCACTCTTGCTTTGTGTGGCATCAGCAGTGATAGAGTCACCGTAGATGTTTGGGTGGTACAAGACTATGACGCTGAAGCCTGGTCCTTCAAGCATCGGATTTATTTATCAGGGATGGATGAATCACCATTTGTTGACTTGAAGGTTCCTAGAATGGCTGTGCTTAGTGATGGTGAGCTGCTGATCCAGTTTGCTCCTAGGCATGTGGTTCGCTGTGACATTGATGGCAGGTTTGTAGAATATGTGAAAAGCGAAGAGGACCAAGACAAGAACTTGTGGCTTACCCGGCATCGCCTCCAGGAGAGCCTTATTCCCCTTCCATTATCCAACGAGATGCAAGAAGGAGGTGCTGCGAGTGTGGAGCCTCCATTCTTCATAGGGCTATAGTTTGCCTTGCTTCATCTGGATGTTTCAGCCCGGTGTGAGAATTATTCTAGATAACTTTTGTCATTCGTTCTCAGTTCTTCTTTTTAGTACTACTAGTAGAATTTAACGCTTTGGATGATTCAGTATTCTGAAACTGCTTCTGTCCACCCAAATTGTCAAATCACATTTTTCTTTACAATTACACGGACAGCTTGAGCAACTGCCCTGAAATTGTACCAGTGTTGTGCCAATTGGGAACACATACAGATTTTTCCGATCCTTCCCTTGCTTCCTTTTCCCGTTTCCAGAATAATCTACAATATGTGTTATGCTTATGGTAAAGTAGCAAACAAAATTAACAAATTATTCCCTACACTTCATTCTCTATCTCTTTGCACCAAATTTTACTGTTGGAAAGGTTCTTACAAGAGCTTTTCAATGCATTTGTTGAGAAAAAGGTTCAGTGTGGAAACAACTTTAAGATATCTGTGATGGTTTACATCTAACAGAAGACAAAGACCTGTGTTTACTTAGTTGATAAATTCTTTTCAGATTTTGTAGTGCTGGATCTTTTTACAGTAAATTTTATATTTTACCCTTTTTGGAGGCGACTTCATTGCAAAATGGTAAGATCACCCACAGTAAAGAAAATAAGAAAATCTGGTTGCTGGCCAAGCATTTTCACCCCTTACTTCGACCACCTTTTGCAAATATTTCGCGTATAACAATACCGGGCAATTCTTGAAAACATCTCACGTGTTACCAAGGACTACTTGCAGACACGATACGACGGATGTCATGTCGGATATGATGTCGCACTAATCCATAAACTGACTGCAAGGAAACTTCCTAAAATCTCAGGTGATCTATTAAAATTTGGAGGCATGACATTTATGCCCTGCCGTAACTGTTCTCTTGATGCCGGTGGTCTGTTATTTTCCTGTCCTTCATCCATCACTTTCTGTAAATTTGTAGTCACATTTACTGTTTGGATCAGCAGCTGCAACTCATCTTTTATGAAGCTAAGAGAAACCTTGGAAATATATGTAGCATGTCAAAGTACCTCACCGAATCATTGTTTTGCTTATTCTTCCATTTTGAAATGATCATCGTTTTGCTTTGGTTTCTGCTTGTGGACCAACATTTTCTTTTTCACTTCAGCAGTAGCCATATTTGTTAATTTGGAATAGTTAATGGTACATGTGTTAGAAATTTATGGTTTGTTTTGGTAGCTCACATCAAGAAATATATTTCATAATGAAACTTTACAAACATGTAGTATACGTCCCTTTATACATGTATAATTTTTTTTAACTTTTTTGAAACTTAATATGCAAAAAGTTTAACTTTCCATAATTCAAGCTCCATGGAGCCCAAGTTCCATTAACAGTTTTCCCATACATGGCAGATTTATAAAAGAAAAAGGAAACTTGCCCTGACTCATGACTTAGGGCATCTCCAACGCGAACACTTGAACAAACACCTTCAAATTTCTGTGGCCCTACCGAGCGAATCCACGAACATCCGGCCGGGCCAAGGCCCTCCAATACTATGTCTCAAAATTTCTTTAGTTTAAACATTTCGGACTAGGGAATTTTATGAAATTTAGACTAGTTTGACATACTACCTTCGAATTAAATGAAATTTAACTAATTTGATGCATGTTACATCTAAACTAAACTAAACCTAACCTAATTGGTAGACAATGACCTTGTAGGCATGGCCGCTTGAGGCCACTCTGCCATTGTTGTCGTCATCTCACCGTCCTCGCGGCGCTTGTGAAAGCCGGGCCAGTTGCGGTGGCATCTGTCCCGGGGCGTGTTGTCATGCTCGTTGTGAAATCCATTGTGCCCTCTCCTTTGTCTTGGGTTGCGCCTTCTCCTCATTCTCACAGAGCTCATGCTCCGACTCAACAATATCGATTTGGAGGAGGCCCTGTCTGGCCTAGCACTGGCGACAGGGGTCGATCTCCTTGGTGGTCTTGGTCGGTCGGTGGGCCACGCCGACATGAGCTCCTCGTCAGAGAAGTCCCCACCTGATGCCACCTGCGTTTTAGCAAAGGACGCCCCAGCGCCGCTTCGGCACAGTGAGGAATTTCGAGCCCAGGACAAAGAGGTCATGTCCCAAAATCGACTGACTCAATGTTCGAAAATCAAGCGATTGACATGTAGCTATTGTGCTAACAAAATTATTGAATGATTCCTAGAGCATAATTTTTTTTCCCGCTTCATCGGTAGCTAGATTTGTCAAAAAAAATAAAAAAATTGCAGGTCTAGATTTGTCAGATTGAAACAGTTAGTACTTTGGAAATGTCGTGTAAAATGAAAAAAAAATGGTGGGGGTGATTGTGGTTGCAGCAGTTATCTTTTCTGGGATTATTAACTTGCTTGATGAACCATTTGAGTGGACTCTCATGTGTCTTTCGTTTCCCCCAATCGTAAATTCGTAATGCAAAAAAGCAGAGCTCCTGCTGATCCAGTGGGAAAAAAGGGAGTTCACGAAGCTAACCAGTTATTGTGTGTACTAAAGTCATGATCTGATTTTCTTAGGCTCGGCTCTTTGTTCTCCTTGTACTTGGTAACATCTTGGTCATTGATGTATACCAGAATAGATTCTGCTTCCTATGTACTAGCTCCGTTTGTTTGTTTCATTTGCTGCTAATAATCAATCTAATTCGTGTATTTCCTCAAAACAGGAGGGAAGGAGAGCTGAAACTAGGAGAGACTGGGTTTATTAGTCCCTTTGTATTTTTGTGCCCAACTTTGACCGTGGATTTGACTAATAAATTATAAGTTGTATGTCACAGAATTTATATTGTTGGATTCATATTTGAAAGAGGTTTTCCAATGACGCATACTATTTTTAGGGTATGTAACTTATTTTTTGATAGTAAAATAGAAGGTCAAAGTTTGATCCAAACTATAAAGAGGACTAATAAACCAGGACGGAGGTAGTACAAACAGTGCCATACTCACGGAGAATAACAAATTGGATAATAAAAATCAGAATAAAAACACTCCTAATTTCTTAAACATAAAGTTGCTCACACCTTTCTAGAAAAAAAAAACAAAATTTCAAGTTTCGTTTTAAGTTGAACATTTAAAGTTTGACCAAATGTATAAAAAATACAAATATATTGTTTCAGGGAAAAATACCAATATCTACAATACAATATAAAAATAATAAATTGAGAAAAAGCTCGATAGCCAAACAAGAGGTAGAGCACGGTGCTGATGAAGAGGTCGGGGCCCTCTTCCTGGTCTTCCTCTCAAAGGAGGAGACTTGAGGGGCGGATCCTGTTCCGCGCGGAATATAGCGACCAAACGCAGATCATCCCATTTAGGTTTTCCTGAGATTTCTCAAAAAAAAAAAGGTTTTACCACGAGGTATTTCTCTCTAGACCAGGTTTTTTTGCTGGTTTTTCTTGGTTTTTCTTTTCCTTTCTTGTGTTTATTCTCCCTTTTTTATATTTTTAAAATTCATGAACAATTTTTTTAACTTTGGAAACGTTTTAAAAAATTCAGGATTAATTTTTCAAAATTCATGAATTTGTCAGACTTTTTGAAATTTGGGAAATTCTTCATATTAATGAATATATTTTTATATAAGGGAATTATTTTCAAATTCATGATCATTTTTTGAAATTTAGAACACTTTTTTTAAGTCCTAGAATATTTTTCAAATTCGTGAATATTTTCGGAAATCTAGGAACATTGTCAAATTCATATTTTTGAAACCCAGTCCTGCACTTGTGGTTATGGTATATCCCAAGAGTGATGCCCAAACGTTTCTCCTATCCTTTTTTTGGTATTCTTTTTTCCCCAGTTTTTTTAGTTTCCGTTCTTTATTTCTTTGGTTTTTTATTTTTATTTTTGGTATTCGTTTTTCTGGTTTCCATTTTTTGTTTTAAAAAATAACTTTGTCCAAATCTATTATAACATGTGATCTAGTTTTGAAGATCTCGACGTGAGAAATTCAACGGTAAATACGGTTCGAGGTTTGGTGCACGGTTAAAGAGATAAAACGTTTTGAATACACATATCTATGAAAAAAGAAAAAACTCCCAGGTTACAACCACTTTCAATCCTTGAGAAGGTGGTGAGTGAACTTCGTAAGGGATAACCCTTAACTAGTGATTTCGCCTTCCTTTCGGACGCTAATAACGTGCTAACCCAAAATATCGTAAGCTTTTCCTTCCTTAACCCTTGACAACCAGGGCAAACTCTTCTCTCCAGGCCTCATTAGCGAGCCCATGGACTCGACTCCTCTCTGCTTGCCACTCCGACAGCAGGTGACGGGAAGGGGAATCCCAGTGCCTTCGCTTCGTTTAATAATTTATGTTAGGTTTAGTCATCGAAGTGCGGCACTCGGACGGATGACGCCACTTTTTCCTTGAGTTTGCCTTTCAGGCTTTGCGCCCCCCCTAGTTTCGTCCATCTGGATGTAGTCGACGGGGTTTTGGTGTAGAATTCCTGCTGTCTTCTTTGGGCAGTGAGGTTAGGGATTCTCGTCGTGTGGTGATATTTGGTGCCAGGTGCTTTAGATCTATTCAAGGATTCGACGATGACTATTGTGACTCCAGGGTGCTGGTCCTTAAGGGCACATGCACGAAAACTTTCCGGCTGTCGTCGACAAGGTCAAGCTGACTCCGATAAAGCAGCAGCGACAACGGCTCATTCTGGTGACGGAAGTAGTTGTTTGGCGGTCATGAAATCTTAATGTAATTTTCTATTATGTTTAATGTGCTTTGTACTTTCGGTGAACTCTGATGATAGATTTGTTTTTTTAAGCAGCGTGCTAACACACTTCCTAGCCATCCCAACTCCTCGAAAAGTATGCGAACCAACCTGTGGTTGGATGGTTAGATGGACTGTGATATCCCCAGCCCATCAGGGTTTAAATCCTAGTGACGAGGTGCCTACGGTGACTTCGTAAATTTTAAGATGATATGTCGGCTCAGTCTTTCAAAGGTGCTCTAGGCTGTGCGTGTGTGCGTTCATAGGGATGAGTGTATGCACGTA